TCCATTGGGGCGTTGGCAAAGGTGGGAGGAAAGAAATCCCATCATTTCCTTCCCCACCGATTGTTATCCCCCTTTTTTAGGGATCTTGATCTTATCCCTTCGGGATATGATCTTATTCCTTCTAAGGGGGGATCTTGGTGCACCTTGACCAGGGGTGTGGGGACTTGCCCCCACTACCCATGTTCATGTGGGTCCCCCCATGCAGGTGGGCCCCACTCCGGAACCTTCTAGAACCTTCCCGGTACAATACCGAAAAATCCCGAACATTTCCGGTGGCCAAAATAGGACTTCCCATATATAAATCTTTACCTCCGGACCATTCCGGAACTCCTCGTGACGTTCGGGATCTCATCCGGGACTCCGAACAACATTCGGTAACTGCACACTAATTCCCATAACAACTCTAGCGTCACCGAACCTTAAGTGTGTAGACCCTACGGGTTCGGGAATCATGCAGACATGATCGAGACAGCTCTCTGGCCTATAAACAACAGCGGGATCTGGATACCCATGTTGGCTCCCACATGTTCCACGATGATCTCATCGGATGAACCACGATGTCGAGGATTCAATCAATCTCGTATTCAATTTCCTTTGTCTAGCGGTATAGTACTTGCCCGAGATTCGATCGTCGGTATCCTGATACCTTGTTCAATCTCGTTACCGGCAAGTCTGTTTACTCGTTCCGTAACACATCATCCCGTGATCAACCCCTTGGTCACATTGTGCACATTATGATGATGTCCTACCGAGTGGGCCTAGAGATACCTCTCCGTCACACGGAGTGACAAATCCCAGTCTTGATTCGTGCCAACCCAACAGACACTTTCGGAGATACCCGTAGTGCACCTTTATAGCCACCCAGTTACGTTGTGACGTTTGGTACACCCAAAGCATTCCTACGGTATCCGGGAGTTGCACAATCTCATGGTCTAAGGAAATGATACTTGACATTAGAAAAGCTTTAGCATACGAACTACACAATCTTTGTGCTAGGCTTAGGATTGGGTCTTGTCCATCACATCATTCTCCTAATGATGTGATCCCATTATCAACGACATCCAATGTCCATGGTTAGGAAACCGTAACCATCTATTGATCAACGAGCTAGTCAACTAGAGGCTTACTAGGGACATGGTGTTGTCTATGTATCCACACATGTATCTGAGTTTCCCATCAATACAATTATAGCATGGATAATAAAAGATTATCATGAACAAGGAAATATAATAATAATAATAACTAATTTATTATTGCCTCTAGGGCATATTTCCAACATGCACGGCCTCCAACACATATCCTACAAACACCAGAAATTAGATGCAACTCATGGACAGATATCAAGGCGATCAATAAGTCTAGAGAGTCAACTAAGGATCCCAATGTGTGGTAGTAACTGTCTTGGATCACAAACATAGAACTCGGTTCATGAGGGCGGTCCCAATGAGATAACCCACCATGTAATCCAACATGGCCTCTCATCGCTACCTTCACCAAATCGTGTTCACACACTTAGCTCTCACACAGTAGGAAATGAACACAACCATTCTAATTCATCGCCTAGATGGATCAAACCCGACACAACACTAAGCATAGCAAGCATAACAAGCAAGCATGAATGATTAGGCACATCATGGCTCAAACAACTACTAATGCTAGTGGGTTTACTAGTTACTGTGGCAAGATAGGTCATGCAGAGGAATGGGTTCATTTACCGCAACATGTAACAGTTGAATCGTTGTTGTCCTAATACAGTAAGAGAGCAAGAGTGAGAGAGTGGGATTGTATCAAAATGCTCAAAGGGGGTTTGCTTGCCTGGCACTTCTGAAGATAGTATAGCTCTTCATCGGTGTCAACGATCACAACATTGGAATCGTCTTCTACCTAGAAGAAACAAACACCAACAAACAAGAAAAAACACAATCAATGCAATGAAACAATATGATGCACGATCATGACATGGCAACATGTTGTTGGTTGAGCTAATTCAACTAGCAACCAAATTTAATGAAGTTGCTTTGAACCAAAGGTTCAATTCAAACTCCATATAAGGCATTTTAAATGCCATTCATTTGATTTGTCCAATTCAGCAACTATAAGTTGTTCCAACATGCATGAGAATGCCATAAATAGATTCTTCATATTTTTCTGATAATTTTTCATATATAATTTATTTCATTTGGAGTTATAGATTATTTTCTATGATTTTTAGAAGTTTTGAGCATTTTCTGAAATTCATAAATCATTTTTTCATTTATTTATTTTGATTCCAGTAAACAGTTACAGCTTCAGCATGATGTCAGGATGACATCAGCGATCAACAGACCAGGTCTAGGTCAAACCGGACTGGTGGGACCCGCATTCCAGTGTCATAATTACTATTTGGGTTAAATTAAATCCTAATAGGACAGTTAGCTGGGCTGGGTCCACTGTCCGTGGCACAGTGTTAAACTAACATCGAGATTAGTGGCTAATCTAATTTGCCATGTCATCTAACTGGTTATAGCCCGTGCTAAGCAGAACGCTGCGGCGCTCCTCGTCCGGCCATCTCCAGCGATGAGAGCATGCGTGGGTGGGTGCGTTGGCTAGCTTGAGCTCGTGCGCGTCTGGTGGTGGTGGCAGATGGAGCGGCGGCCGAAGTTTGGATGATGAGGTAGGCGAGGCTGCAGGGCATGGGGAGGTCGTATGAAGTGCGATGCAGGCTCCTGGGAACTCCAGGAGTTCAACACCGTGCTCGGACACGGCAAAGGTGGGCTCTCGCGATGACGGCAACAAGACAAGCATCGGTGAGCTCACGGGTGCGGCGGGAACGGTGGATAGAGGTGACGCGAGAGGACAAGGAGTTAGGGAAAAGGGAGAGAAGCTCACTACGGTTCCGATGGGCAGGTCGGTGGCTCGAGGGAAACTCTGCAGTCTGCGGGCCAACGGACGCGATCTCCGACGTCCAAGCTTGAAAACGTCAGCAGTGAGGGAGATGTAGCACTCCTAAGCGTGCGTGGCTCGGTGATGAGGACGAGGGTGACGAGGCGGAACTCGTGGACAGCTCCAGGGGCGAGGGGGAGGCGGTGGTCGCGGCAACAACGAGCCACGACGACTGTGGCGCTCGGCCATGGCGGTGGGGGCGAGGGAGAGGGCGAGTGGAAGAATGAGGGAGTCAGAGGGATTGGAACAATGCCCAGGAGGGCATTCGCCGTGTTGCGCTGGCCGGAGGAGGCAGGCAGGCGAGGTGATGGCGTGGTGCCCGCGCGCGTCGTGCACTGTC